GTAATAAATACTACACACTTGTAACCTTTATCATACAATGTTATCCAAACATAGAGTAAGAGGAGGAGGAGCAATGGATAGAATCCTATCACATACCAAAAGGAAATTACTCCTAATGGTGGTGTATTAGGTGATATACACATAACATAATAAACAAATGGAGTGAAATCTAAATTAAATATATTGCATGGTAGTTTAGTCAGTGAATCAAAGTAATAATTATCATAATAATCATAATAATAATAATAATAATAATCATATATTACAATATAAAAATAAAGAGAATAACTTATTGATATTATTTGTGAATAGAATACTACTCCATTAATAGATCCATTGGTTAGTTGTATATTAAATATTATTATTAATAATACCATGATTGTGATAGGTAATATTTCTATTACAATAAATACCAGTAAACCATATTCATCACATTCAGTACAAATGTTAAAATTTGGGTTCAATGGTACTCTCTTAGATGTGCAGTCAAGAAAAAATTGTCCTGTATTATTATCATAACAATATTCATTATATTTGCAACTAATACTGTTACCTAAACAAGGAATATCGTATACATTATCACAGGTTGGATGTGGTGGTAAGGTACTGGTACCCTTTTTAATACATGTACCATTGTCAAAATTATAACCAGAGGAGCATTCAGTTGTCACATTCACAATTCTACTAGTGTTAATATTAATCAGATATAAAGTTTGAACATAAATTGAAACTTCAATAGGACCAGCATCAATATAATCACTAAAACATGTATTGACTTCATAGCATTTATCAGTAGGGTAACAGTTTGAGTGTGAAATATTATAGAATTCAGGGTCAGTTGAGGAATTAATCCTGATAGAAACATTGAGACCATACATCCAACCTAATCGTTCATTATTACCAATACCATTGATATAAACATCAAATGAAAGATGGTTACAAGTACAGTTGGCGTACTGGTCATAATCATAGCAATATACCGGTAATGGTGTTTCAATGTTACCTAATTCTAGCTGTAAATTTTGACCAGCCTCATCCCCCAGTACTGGTTCATTGTGTGTAGTAATATCAAAGGATGGTTCAGTACATGCAACAGGAACATTGTTACAATTATAAAGACTAACACATTCAAATACAATATACCTCAACCAGTTATATGAAGAAGACGAAACATGTAGACACGTGATACTAACCTCTTCATATCTACTACCATCCCTCATACCAATGATACTCACATTATTCCTCAGCAGCTGTTGCTCTAGTAGACTAGTAGTGTCTAGTGTATATGTACCAGGAGACAGGTTGATAAGGATACCTGATGAACAGTTGTATTGTAGAGTAGGAGTTCCTTGTATAGCTAGATCAATAGTAGCACAAGGTGTTTGAACTCCTCCAGTCCAACAAGAGGTATTGTTGATACCATCAGAGGAACTGACATAGATCCTACACTCCAAACCAGCAGCAGAATATACTAGAACAAGAGAAAGAAGAGAGACAAGAACCACTCCAGGAACCATCACTGCATTCATTGTAATCTAAACAAAAGGGTCTTGCCCTATGGTCAAACCACATCATGTGATAGTTTAGATACCAAACCATAGACTTAGATAGTCTTAGTTAATGTTCATC